AGGACCCAGCGAGAGGCTGAGTCCCAACTGACACTCTATTCCCTATATAGTTCACTACTTATGTAAGGAATAGTGTACAGAGACAGAGAACAGAGAACAGAGAACAGAGAACAGAGATAGACAGGCAGAGAACAGAGAATAGAGAACAGAGAACAGAGAACAGAGACAGAGACAGAGACAGAGACAGAGACAGAGACAGAGACAGAGAACAGAGAACAGAGAACAGAGAACAGAGAACAAAGAACAGAGACAAAGAACAGCGAACAGAGACAGACAGACAGGCAGAGCAACAGTGTCATGCATGAGGGCTGGTACTCAGACTCTGGCCCGTCTGTCTGAGGGTACTATGAGTCAGATACAGTGCATTAGGAAAGTATTCAGACCCCTTTTTCCACATTTTGTTCCGTTATAGCCTTATTCTAAAATTGATTAAATAAAACAATTTCCTCAGCAGTCTACACATAATACCACATATTGACAAAGCGAAAACAGGTTTTTAGACATTTTTGCAAATGTATTAAAAACAAAAACAGAAATACCTTATTTACACAAGTATTCAGCGACGCTCCCCATCCAACCTGACAGAGCTTGAGAGGATCTGCAGAGAAGAATGGGAGAAACTCCCCAAATACAGGTGTGCCAAGCTTGTAGCGTCATACCCAAGAAGACTCAAGGCTGTAATCGCTGCCAAAAGTGCTTCAACAAAGTACTGAGTAAAGGGTCTGAATACTTATGTAAATGTGATATTTCAGTTTATTATTTTTAATAAATTAGCAAAAATGTCTAAAAAACTGTTTTTGCTTTGTCATTATGGGGTATTGTGTGTAGATTGATGAGGGAAAAAAACAATTTAATCAATTTTAGAATAAAGCTGTAACCTAACAAAATGTGGAAAAGGTCAAGGGGTCTGAATCCGAAGTCACTGTAGATGGCAACCCTCTTATGTAGAACATGGTCGTTACACCACTAGGAGCTGTCAATACGGCCACACCAGAAATAATTGAACCAAACTACAGCCAGGCAAACAGGGTCTGTACACACACACTGTGATTAGGTCTAGGGGCAACCACCACTGTCCTCACCCAAGGAAAGCCATCAACAATTGCCGGTCTCAGCACGCACACACACACACCACACACACACACATTTCCGTCCTAGCCAAAGGTATGTCAACACAGTGTAAGGCTCAGCTCCGCACAATGTACTGCACCCGACCAGATCACAGTGACGGTCCCAGCGGTGCTGATACACATACACACACACACACACACACACACACACACGTGAAACCCAAATCAGCCTCTCTCTTCTCTAGTCCAACAGGCTCAAATTAAAACACTGCTTTTCCACATTATGTCGGGCTGAGTTTTCTGCCCAGCAACTCGGAAAGGGAGAGTAAGTGTGCGTCAGAAATGGCACCCTATTCCCTATATAGGGTCCTGCACCGTGGGGAGCCACAGCACTATATAAGGAATAGGGTGCCATTTGGGAGGCAACCTAAAGGAGGTTTTGAGACCTCAGGAGAAGTGATGAAGGTTCTGCTCGGTACACAGGTACAGTACATCTCTCAGAGGTCTTAGCAAACCAGCTGAGCGCCTGCTAGGAGCCTGGATTCAGATATATTCAGAGAGGTAGAGGAGAGGAGTGCAGTCAAGAGACAGGAATGTGTTATTTCCCTTTATAAACTGGGTGGTTTGAGGCCTGAATGCTGAATGGCTGACAGCCGTGGTATATCAGACCGTGTACCACGGGTACGAAAAAACGTTTATTTTGAATGCTCTAATTACGTTGGTAACCAGTTTATAATAGCAATAAGGCACCTCGGAGGTTTGTGGTATATGGCCAATATACCACGGCTAAGGGCTGTATCCAGACACTCCGCGTTGCGTCGTGCATAAGAACAGCCCTTAGCCATGGTATATTGGCCATATACCACACCCCCTCGGGCCTTATTGCTTAAATGTTACCTAGGCCCAATACACAACTTGATCTCATAGTTTCACTTCGGGATTTGACGTAATTAGATTTTTGACTCATTAATTCCGCATGGCTACATATCATGAGGGATTTTAGTACATTTTCACAACAGGTTGTGTTTTCACACGTACACATGCGCGCACGCGCACACACACACATACACACACACAAACAAACACACAGAATGGAAGACCTTTGAAACATAAACAACATTGTACATTGTTTTTGATTTGATTTGACATTCCTGGAGAGCTTTAGAACTCCCATGGGTTCTGCACCATGGGGATCCACAGCACTAGCTTCCATGTGGACCAGTGTCCATTGAACTCCGTTGACCATGCAGAGTGTGCGTGTGTCAGCCATATCTCAACCATATCTGACACGTCTTTCATCAGTTTCCTGCAGCCACATATAAGCTCACAGACCTGAGGCCCTGTTCTATCTCCTCAGTATCAGACCTGAGGCCCTGGTCTCTGCTATCTCCTCGGTATCAGACCTGAGGCCCTGGTCTCTGCTATCCTCCTCTTACAGACCTACCCTGTCTCTGCATCTCCTCGGTATCAGACCTAGCCCTGTCTCTGCTATCTCTCGAAATCAGACCTGAGGCCCTGGTCTCTGCTATCTCCTCGGTATCAGACCTGAGCCCTGGTCTCTGCTATCTCCTCGGTATCAGACCTGAGGCCCTGGTCTCTGCTATCTCCTCGGTATCAGACCTGAGGCCCTGGTCTCTGCTATCTCCTCGGTATCAGACCTGAGGCCCTGGTCTCTGCTATCTCCTCGGTATCAGACTTGAGGCCCTGGTCTCTGCTATCTCCTCAGTATCAGACCTGAGGCCCTGGTCTCTGCTATCTCCTCAGCATCAGTGAGAACAGTCGCTCTCCAGACAAGTGCCCTAAAGCCCCCCCCCCCCCTCTCTCTCTCTCTCTGTTGCTGTCTGTATATGTCTTTCTCTGTCTCTCTCTCTCTCTATCCTCCCTCTCTCTCTCCCTCTGTCTCTCCATCTCTCTCTCTCTCTCTTAACATCTGACCCTGTTATTCATCACTGTTTCTTGTAGGTCAGAGAATACCTCTGGATGTTCAGTGTGTGAGAGACTGAAGAAGGAGGAGGAGGAGGAGGAGGAGGAGGAGGAGGAGGGTACTGGTGGAAAACAATCCCACATTTCTGGAGAATGTGTGGTATCGGTTTCAAAATGATGGCAGGGGTGAGGAGAGAGGCTGCAGAGGTTACCTGATCAGAAACTCAGATGTGTAATTGGTGAAATGTGGTCGGAGAAGAGACTGCCCATTTATTATCCTCTTCACACTCCTCCGCCAGGAGTTTTCCGTGGTCACTCACAGGGTATGTGGTCAGGAAAAACTCCAGGGCCTACTCATACCATCAGACTGCGTGGCACTTACAGGTAATTGCCAAAGTGAAAGTCAAAACCAAAAGACTAATGGATCCCCTCTCTGATCTTCTGTCCTGGAAAGACACTGACTCACACACACACTACTGTTGAGTCTATCCTGTCAATCTCAATTTCGACAGCCAGAAAAGTTTCCAGCGACGCCCTGAGCAAGGACATAAATGTTGAGGAAACCATATGTGGGTAAAACAGGCAGCTTTTTTAGATGAGCCGGTCCTTTAAGGGCTCCAGTGAATCACCTGGCCTCCAAACAGTAAAACACCCATCTGATCCAATAGGAGAGGGTTGCTACTGTATATCATGCAAATAATTGGAAGAAGACAGCTGGACTGAATATAGAGAAAGGGAGGTGTGAATGGCTTCCCAGCTAAATTTACTAACAGGGTTGGCTACTGTGGGTGCCAAGCAAACAAAGGTTGGACCAGACTGAACTGAAACTCATGGCGAGCATATGGAAAAACTGTCTTTGAATGAATCTGCAAGTGTGAGCAAATGACAACGGAAAAATGGTTCAACTCAGCTCCCTTGGGACGATTGGCAGGTGTATGATATTCTCCTAACCCTAGCCGTGACATGTTTAAAAAATCCTCATTCAAATGTCCATATCCCGACCCTGGAATCTCAATCACTCACGTATGAACATATACTTCTACTATACAGGTGTACTGATTCATGAAAGAAGAGCAGCTGCATGTCCTCTCATTGATTTAATAGTCAGATAGCTCCTGTAGAGTAGACACAAACACACTTTTTGTAGACCTCGTCTTTAGCATTTTTAATGTGTGTGTTTACATGGGTAGCATAGGGGCAACTAGGGGGGATACGGTTATCTCCTAATATAACCGTGTGGCTCAGTTGGGGCTCAGTTTGTAGAGCATGGCACTTGCAACGCCAGGGTTGTGGTTTCAATTCCCACGGGGGAACGGTACAAACAAAAATATGAAAATGTATGCACTCACTACTGTAAGTCGCTCTGGACAAGAGTGTTGACTCAAATGTAATAGTGACCTCTTTCTGTCAAAGTCCCCCTTCATTCTTCCAATGGGAGATTAACATTCCAGAGAGTTGACTTCCTAGTGCCGTTGAGCCCTCCAGCAGAGTTTATGAACCGCATTACAGTCAAAATATGTGATATTGGTTTTAAAAACATCTGATAAATGATGGGTTCTTCTGGGGGTTTTTGCGCATAACAGAGAGAGAGAGACTTTCGCAAGACTAAATTAAGGAGAGGTTCTGAGATACTTCAAAGGATCTCTAACACACAGTCTTCAGTTGTTGGACACACACACACACATTGCTAGTTCACACACCCTGAATGGCCAAGTAATGAAAGTGTGAACGGAAATGGCAGTGAAATGCAACATGGGTAATGAATGGGGAGAACCAGGCAGGCCATGAAGTGTGACCACTTTCTGAGCTTCATTAGTGGTGAATGGAATAGATAGAGATACCGAATACAGTCTGCAAAAGGGGGTGCTTTAAATGTGCCTGTATCTAGTGGGGTTAAAGTTTAAATCATTCCCACATCTATAAAAGAGGGTTTGAGGGTGGGGGGGAAGAGAGAGAGAGAGAGAGAGAGAGAGGGAGAGATCTCTAAGAGAGGGTAGATATCTTGCTCTAGAGATGTCGAGGGTCGCTCTCAGAGTGATGTTTCCTGCGTTTGCTCGTCGCGCTCTTTCCTTTCGTGTCTCGTCCGTCTCTCGCGCTCTCGCCGCTCGAGCGCGCTCTCGCTGCCTCTCTTTCTCCTCGCGCTTCTTCTCGCTCTCTCGCGCTCGTCCGTTCGGCGCGCGCGCTCTTCCGCGCTCTCGCTGTTTCCTTCTCCCTCCCCCTCGTCTCCGGCTCACCTGTCTTGCCAGGGCCCGGCTCGATTGAGATAAAGAAAGGTGATGAGAGAGAAAGAAAGCGCTCCAGGGGGTCAGACCTGGTTAGTGATAAGAGAGGATTCCATTTCCCCTGTTGGGATATGGCCATTTCCTCCTCTGTCTGCTGTGTGTGTGTGTGTGTGTGTGTGTGTGGTGTGTGTGTGTGTGTGTGTGTGTCTGTGTGTGTGTGTATATATATATCTAATCGAGATTGATGAGGGGACCCATGCTGGAGACCGGCTGACCTGGCCAGGTCTAGATAAGACAGGGTGGAATGTCTTTAAACAGCCTGAGCTGCAGAGATATGTACCAACACTACTCAGCCTTATATAGGGAGGATACAAGATCTTGCATCTACAGTTTAATCTGATAACTTCTGGTTAATTCTCTGTCCAGAATTGGATTAATCAACCTGGTTGAATAAAAGTCCTTCTTAAGACAGTGGCTAAATTAGTCAGAATTGGTGTTTTGACCTGATCTTCTCCTGTAGATGTGAGTAGCTCATGCAGAGCAGGATAAAAACAGTCAGGTAAAAACATTAGGAGAAGAGAAGTGGAGGGACTATCCACAGAATGTTTCTCTCCTCTCTCTCTCCTCTCTCTCTCTCTCTCTCTCTCTCTCCTCTCTCTCTCTCTCTCTCTCTCTCTCCCTCTCTCTCCTTTCTCTCTCTCTCTTTCTCTCTCATCTCTCTCGCTCTCTCCTCTTCTCTCTATCTCCTCTCTCTTCTCTCTCTCTCTCCTCTCTCTACAATTTTTCTTCTATCTTTTTTTGTCATCTACTCCTCTTATTATGCACAGCATTAGAGCAGACTAACAGTGGGTTGCCAGCCCCTGTCTGTTTGGCGCAGTGTTTTGGCCATGACAGAGTAATAGCAGGAGGACGGATATCATCTGCCAACATGGCAACCCAGGTTCCAACACATGGCAACCCTGAGGCAAATCCCTTGGATGATGAAGTCAAAGACAGAGAAACTAAGGAGAGGAGAGGAAAGCATGGTCGTTTTAGAGCCAGAGGCTCCTGTTATTGTAGCTGCCTTTGTGGAATCTACTTTCTGTTCTCTCCGTGTGTTATGAAAATTACTTATAAACTGACTGATCGACACATTCCTACATGCTACACACACATACGCACACCAGTCGGGGCTCCTCAGAGGAGGAAAGGGAGGACCACCTCCTCAGTGAATTTCTTATTTATTTTTTTAAATAGTGAAACATTAAAAAAGTTATGCTTTTTAGATAAAACTATAGTAAATATATTCACGTCACCAAATAATTGATTAAAACACAGTGTTTTGCAATTAAGGTCTACAGTAGCCTCAACAGCACTGTAGGGTAGCACCATGGTGTAGCCAGAGGACAGCTAGTTTCCGTCCTCCTCTGGGTACATTGACTTCAATACAAAACCTAGGAGGCTCGTGGTTCTCACCCCCTTCCATAGACTTACACAGTAATTATGACAACTTCCAGAGGACGTCCTCCAACCTATCAAAGCTCTTGCAGCATGAACTGGCATGTTATCCACGCAATCAAAGGATCAGAGAATGAGTCTAGTGCTGAAAGCATAAGCTACAGTTAGCTAGCACTGCAGTGCATCACTTTCACTTACTTAGATAGTGAATGCAGCTAGCTAGTTTAGCCTACTCAAACACCTGGCTCAAGCAGAGAGGGATGCTATGTTAGGTATTTGGTATTGGTATTTTATTAGGATCCCCATTATCAAATCAAATCAAATCAAATTGTATTGGTCACATGCGCCGAATACAACAGGTGCAGACATTACAGTGAAATGCTTACTTACAGCCCTTAACCAACAGTGCATTTATTTTTAACAAAAAAAGTAAAAATAAAACAACAACAAAAAAAGTGTTGAGAAAAAAAGAGCAGAAGTAAAATAAAATAACAGTAGGGGGGGTACCGGTGCAGAGTCAATGTGCGGGGGCACCGGCTAGTTGAGATAGTTGAAGTAATATGTACATGTGGGTAGAGTTAAAGTGACTATGCATAAATAATTAACAGAGTAGCAGCAGCGTAAAAAGGATGGGGTGGGGGGGCAGTGCAAATAGTCCGGGTAGCCATGATTAGCTGTTCAGGAGTCAGCTGTTGCGAAAGCAGCAGCTACTCTTCCTGGGGTCCACACAAAACATGAAACATGACATAATACAGAACATTAATAGACAAGAACAGCTCAAGGACAGAACTACATCAATTTACAAATGGCACACGTAGCCTACATATCAATACATACACACAAGCTATCTAGGTCAAATAGAGGAGAGACGTTGTGCTGTGTGGTGTTGCTTTATCTGTTTCTTTAAACCAGGTTTGCTGTTCATTTGAGCAATATGAGATGGGAACTCCATGCAATAATGGCTCTATATAATACCGTACGCTTTCTTGAATTTGTTCTGGATTTGATGACTGTGAAAAGACCACTGGTGGCATGTCTGGTGGCGTAGGTGTGTGTGTCAGAGCTGTGTGTAAGTTGACTATGCAAACAATTTGGAATTTTCAACACATTAATGTTTCTTATAAAAAGAGAGACTGGCACACACAGTATTTATATTAGCCCTCTTAGAACAATGAAGAGCAAGACGTGCTGCTCTGTTCTAGGCCAGCTGCAGCTTAACTAGGTCTTTCCTTGCAGCACTCGACCACACGACTGGACAATAATCAAGATAAGACAAAATTAGAGCCTGCAGGACTTGCTTTTTGGAGTGCAGTGTCATAAAAGCAGAGCATCTCTTTATTATGGACAGACCTCTCCCCATCTCTACAACCATTGAATCTATATGTTTTGACCATGACAGTTTACAATCTAAGGTAACACCAAGTAATTTAGTCTCCTCAAATTGTTCAACAGCCACACCATTCATTACCAGATTCAGCTGAGGTCTAAAACTTAGGGAATGATTTGTACCAAATACAATGCTCTTAGTTTTAGAGATGTTCAGGACCAGTTTATTACTGGCCACCCATTCCGAAACAGACTGCAACTCTTTGTTAAGGGTTTCAGTGACTTCATTAGCTGTGGTTGCTGATGCGTATATTGTTGAATCATCAGCATACATAGACACACATGCTTTGTTTAATGCCAGTGGCAGGTCATTGGTATGAATAGAAAATAGTAGAGGGCCTAGAGAGCTACCCTGCGGTACAACACACTTTACATGTTTGACATTAGAGAATCTTCCAATAAAGAAAACCCTCTGAGTTCAATTAGATTGATAGCTCTGAATCCACGATATGGCAGAGGTTCAAAAAAGCCATAACGCATATGTTTTCTCAACAACAGGTTATGGTCAATAATGTCAAAGGCTGCACTGAAATCTAACAGTACAGCTCCCACAATCTTATTATCAATTTCTTTCAACCAATCATCAGACATTTGTGTCAGTGCAGTACATGTTGAGTGCCCTTCTCTATAAGCATGCTGAAAGTCTGTTGTTAATTTGTTTACAGAGAAATAGCACTGTATTTGGTCAAACAACATTTTTCCAACCATTGTCTAAGAGCTGGAAAGCAAGCTGATAGGTCTGATGTTAGAACCAGTAAAGGTCGCTTTACCACTCTTGGCTTCCCTCCAGGCCTGAGGACAAAGACTTGCCTCTAGGCTCAGATTAAAGATATGACACATATGAGTGGCTATAGAGTGAGCTACCATCACCAGTAGCTTTCCATCTAAGTTGTCAATGCCAGGAGGTGTATCATTATTCATCTCCCACACTAACTTCACAAAATCCTAACTTGTAATGCTTTGCTTTCATTATGTGTTTTTTTATGTATGAGTACAATGGCTCACTGTTCATTGTTGGCATTTCCTGCCTAAGTTTGCCCACTTTGACATTAAAATAATTGGCAACATCAAATGGTTTTGTGATGAATAAGCCATCTGATTTGATGAAAGATGGAGTTGAATTTGTCTTTCTGCCATAATTTCATTTAAACTACTCCAAAGTATTTTTTCCATCATTCTTTATATCATTGATCTTGGCTTCATAATACAGTTTCTTCTTCTTTTTGTTGAGTTTAGTCACATCATTTCTCAATTTGCAGTAAGTCAGCCAGACAGATGTGCAGCCAGACTTATTTGCCACTCCTTTTGCCCCATCTATTTCAACCATACAGTTTTTCAATTCCTTATCAATCCATGGAGCCTTGACAGTTCTATCAGTCAGTTTCTTAACAGGTACATGTTTATCAATAATTGGAAGAAACAATTTCATAAATTCATCAAGTGCAGCATCTGGATGCTCCTTATTAATCACATCAGAACAACAATTATTTTTTTACATGATCCACATAAGAGTCACAGCAAAATATTTTGTATGATCTCTTAAACACTATTTTAGGCCCAGCTTTCGGGAACTTTGGCTTTCCTGGATATAGCCACTATATTGTGATCACTGCATCCAATGGGTACGGATACAGCTTTAGAACAAAGTTCTACAGTATTAGTAAAAATGTGATCAATACATTTGGAAGATCTTGTTCCTGTTGTGTTTGTAAACACCCTGGTAGGTTGATTAATGACCTGAACCAGATTACAGAATCTGGTTACAGTGAGAAGCTTCCTCTTGAGCAGACAGCATGATGAAAACCAGCTAATATTCAGGTCCCCAAAAATGTAGACCTCTCTGTTTACATCACATACACTATCAATTATTTCACACATATTATTTAGATACTGACTGTTAGCACTTGGTGGCCTATAGCAACACCCCAAAATAAAAGGCTTTAGATGTGCCAAGTGAACCTGCAACCACAACACTGCAATAACACTTGACATAAGATCTTCTCTAAGCATTACAGGGATATTGCTCTGAATATACAGTACCAGTCAAAAGTTTGGAAACACCTACTCATTCAAGGGCTTTTCTTAATTTTTTACTATTTTCTACATTGTAGAATAATAGTGAAGACATCAAAACTATGAAAGAACACATATGGAATGATGTAGTAACCAATAAAGTGGTAAACAAATCAAAATATATTTTATATTTGAGATTCTTCAAAGTAGCCACTCCTTTCCTTGATGACAGCTTTGCACATTCTAGGCATTCTCTCAACCAGCTTCATGAGGAATGCTTTTCCAACAGCCTTGAAGGAGTTCCCACATATGCTGAGCACTTGTTGGCTGCTTTTCCTTCATTCTGCGGCCCAATTCATCCCAAACCATCTCAATTGGGTCGAGGTCGGGTGATTGTGGAGGCCAGGTCATCTGATGCAGCACTCCATCACTCTCCTTCTTGGTCAAATAGCCCTTACACAGCCTGGAGGTGTGTTGGGTCATTGTCCTGTTGAAAACAAATTATAGTCCCACTAAGCGCAAACCAGATGGGATGGCATATCGCTGCAGAATGCAGTGGTAGCCATGCTGGTTAAATGTGTCTTGAATTCAAAATAAATCAAAGACAGTGTCACTAGCAAAACACCCCCACACCATCACACCTCCTCCTCCATGCTTCATGGTGGGAACCACACATGCGGAGATCATCCGTTCACCTACTCTGTGTCTCACAAAGACACGGCGGATGTAACCAAAAATCTCACATTTGGACTCATCAGACCAAAGGACAGATTTCCACTGGTCTAATTGTTAATTGCTAATTGCTTGTGTTTCTTGGCCCAATAAAGTATCTTCTTATTATTGGTGTCCTTTAGTAGTGGTTTCTTTGCAGCAATTTGACCATGAAGGCCTGATTCACGCAGTCTCCTCTGAACAGTTGATGTTGAGATGTGTCTGTTACTTGAACTCTGTAAAGCATTTACATTGGCTTGCGAAAGTATTCACCCCCCTTGGCATTTTTCCTATTTAGTTGCCTTACAACCTGGAATTAAAATAGATTTTGGGGGGGGGGTTGTATCATTTGATTTACACAACATGCCTACAACTTTGAAGATGCAAAATATTTTTTTGTGTGAAACAAACAAGAAATAAGACAAAAAAACTGAAAACTTGAGCGTGCATAACTATTCACCTTCCCAAAGTCAATACTTTGTAGAGCCACCTTTTGCAGCAATTACAGCTGCAAGTCTCTTGGGGTATGTCTCTATAAGCTTGGCACATCTAGCCACTGGGATTTTTGCCCATTCTTCAAGGCAAAACTGCTCCAGCTCCTTCAACTTGGATGGGTTCCTCTGGTGTACAGCAATCTTTAAGTCATACCACAGATTCTCAATTGGATTGAGGTCTGGGCTTTGACTAGGCCATTCCAAGACATTTAAATGTTTCCCCTTAAACCACTCAAGTGTTGCTTTAGCAGTATGCTTAGGGTCATTGTCCTGCTGGAAGGTGAACCGCCGTCCCAGTCTCAAATCTCTGGAAGACTGAAACAGGTTTCCCTCAAGAATTTCCCTGTATTTAGCGCCATCCATCATTCCTTCAATTCTGACCAGTTTCCCAGCCCCTGCCGATGAAAAACATCCCCACAGCATGATGCTGCCACCCCAATGCTTCACTGTGGGAATGGTTTCTCTGGGTGATGAGAGGTGTTGGGTATGCGCCAGACATTGCGTTTTCCTTGATGGCCAAAAAGCTCAATTTTAGTCTCATCTGAACAGAGTACCTTCTTCCATATGTTTGGGGAGTCTCCCACATGCCTTTTGGCGAAAACCAAACGTGTTTGCTTATTTTTTTCTTTAACCAATGGCTTTTTTCTGGCCACTCTTCCGTAAAGCCCAGCTCTGTGGAGTGTACAGCTTAAAGTGATCCTATGGACAGATACTCCAATCTCCGCTGTGGAGCTTTGCAGCTCCTTCAGGGTTATCTTTGGTCTCTTTGTTGCCTCTCTGATTAATTCCCTCCTTGCCTGGTCTGTGAGTTTTGGTGGGCGGCCCTCTCTTAGCAGGTTTGTTGTGGTGCCATATTCTTTCAATTTTTTTATAATGGATTTAATGGTGCTCCGTGGGATGTTAAAAGTTTCTGATATTTTTTTATTTCCCAACCCTGATCTGTACTTCTCCACAACTTTGTCTCTGACCTGTTTGGAGAGCTCCTTGGTCTTCATGGTGCCGCTTGCTTGGTGGTGCCCCTTGCTTAGTGGTGTTGCAGACTCTGGGGCCTTTCAGAACAGGTGTATATATACTGAGATCATGTGACAGATCATGTGACACTTAGATTGCACACAGGTGGATTTTATTTAACTAATTATGTGACTTCTGAGGGTAATTGGTTGCACCAGATCTTATTTAGGGGCTTCATAGCAAAGGGGGTGAATACATATGCACGCACCACTTTTCCGTTATTTAGTTTTTGAAACAAGTTATTTTTTTCATTTCACTTCACCAATTTTGACTATTTTGTGTATGTCCATTACATGAAATCCAAATAAAAATACATTTAAATTACAGGTTGTAATGCAACAAAATAGGTAAAACGCCAAGGGGGATGAATACTTTTGCAAGGCACTGTATTTGGGCTGCAATCTGAGGTGCAGTTAACTCTAATGAACTTATCCTCTGCAGCAGAGGTAACTCTGGGTCTTCCTTTCCTGTGGCGGTCCTCATGAGAGCCAGTTTCATCATAGCGCCTGATGGTTTTTGCGACTGCACTTGAAGAAACTTTCAAAGTTCTTGAAATTTTCCGGATTGACTGACCATGTCTTAAAGTAATGATGCACAGTCGTTTCTCTTTGCTTATTCGAGCTGTTCTTGCCATAATATGGACTTGGTCTTTTACCAAATAGGGCTATCTTCTGTATACCATCCCTACCTTGTCACAACACAACTGATTTGCTCAAACGCATTAAAAAGGAAAGAAATTCCACAAATTAACTTTTAAGAAGGCACACCTGTTAATTGAAATGCATTCCAGGTGACTACCTCATGAAGCTGGTTGAGAGAATGCCAAGAGTGTGCAAAGCTGTCATCAAGGCAAAGGGTGGCTACTTTGAAGAATCTCAAATATAAAATATATTTTGATTTGTTTAACACTTTTTTGGTGATGGAGTGCTGCATCAGATGAACTGGCCTCCACAATAACCTGACCAATTGAGATGGTTTGGGATGAGTTGGACCACAGAGTGAAGAAAAAGCAGCCAACAAGTGCTCAGCATATGTGGGAACTCCTTCAAGACTGTTGGAAAAGCATTCCAGGTGAAGCTGGTTGAGGGAATGCCAAGAGTGTGCAAAGCTGTCATCAAGGCAAATATATTTTGATTTGTTTAACACTTTTTTGGTTACTACATGATTCCATATGTGTTCTTTCATAGTTTTGATGTCTTCACTATTATTCTACAATGTAGAAAATAGTAAAAATAAAGAAAAACCCTTGAATGAGTAGGTAGGTGTGTCCAAACTTTTGACTGGTACTGTATATTATTTCCTGCAATTCTATACATTTTGTTATGGGCTTTTGTACTGTGTATTTATATACTGTATTCTTGACATAGCTCATACTAATATTTCTACTACTGTACATTGCATTTTAGTTACACTGCTTATACACACCGCATATTTATTTATATAGTGTATTCTTGACATAGCGCACTCTAATATACACAGAATGAACAAAACATGAATAACTCCTGCTCTTTCCATGACATAGATTGACCAGGTGAATCCAGGTGAAAGCTATGATCCCTTATTGATGTCACCTGTTAAATCCACTTCAGTCAGTGATGTAGAATCTGAGATGTATACACACCCACAACCCACATACATGCAAAAAATACAATATGGTATAGACACACAGACACACACAAACACCACACTAAATCAATCACAAAGAATCCAGGTTACACACACACAAGCATCGTCACTCACCGCAGCCCGTTGGAATGCTCCCCTAGTATAGGTCCCCCCTCCTCTGTAGGTGATAGCAGGGATCTCCTGGTTAAACAGAGAACACTTGTGCTGATGCGATTTCGGCGCCTTGACATGATCCACCCGGGTCACCACGTGGGTCTTGGACGAGAACGTAACCAGGGCGACCCTCGTGTCCTCCGGGGCCACGGGGAAGTCCGAGAGGAACTTCCGTACGAAGCGCAGCTCACTCAGGAAGTTGTTGGCCCCCACGCTGGAAGACTCGTCCACCAGGAATACCAGGTCCAGATGTCCACTCTTCTCCCGGAGCATGCGCACATTCTTCTTGAAGGCTTGGCCCAGGCGCTCCACCTTGGACTCTGCGCTTTCAGAGAGGGTGAGGTTGAGGGCCGGGGAGGCTGGGGATCCGGAGCCGTAGCGGAGCGAGCTGAGATGGTGGAGCTGTTGCTCCAAAGCCGGCCAGGATGAAGTCCTACTAACCAGGAAGCACCACAGAAGCAAGATATAGGTCCACATACATACTGGGTTCGTTAGAGTAGACATACTGTCCTGTCCTGTCAGCTCCAGGTGTCAGCAGAGGAAAGAGTTCTTATAAAACACTTTGAAACAGGATGTCCAATAGCGATGATGACAAGTATTTGATGATGGTGGTGTTTTCCTACATTCCCATTTGTCTCCAGCCACACTGCAGCATGGACGCCAGGCAAAGCAGATTTTTCTCCAAAAGCACTTCCAAAAAGAGAATAGCACCAGTGATGATGATGAAATAGTTGTCCTATGGCCCGTCTGTCTGTCTGTCTCTCCTCTTTTCTGTTGGAGTCCTGATCTATTAGTGAGGGAGGGTGCTGACTGGAGAGGCGTGTGGCTGAGCAGTTACAGTGAAGTGTCTGTCTGTCTGTCCCGCTAGCAGAAGGCTACAGCTGATCCCTTCTCTCTCTGTCTCTCTGTCTGTCTCTTGCCCTCAGGCTCCTGTGTGCGTGCGATGCTCCAGCACCCAATCAGGTTTCAAATGGCTCTTCCCCCCTCTCTCAAAATCATTGTAAAAAATTATGAAAAAAGTTCAGAGTGAGAGTGAGAAAGAGAGCAGGAGGGAGAAATACGGAGAGAAGGAGAGAGAGACAGAGGGAAAAGGGGCAGTCACAGCCATGAAGTCATTTTTTTATTTTCGCCTCCTCCTCTCTTCTTCTCTGCTCTCGCTCTCCCTCTCTCTCGCTTTCTCTCTTTCTTCTCTCTCCCCTCTCTCTATGTCGCTCTCTCCTCTTTTTCTCTCTCCGTCTCTCTCTCTTCTCACAGTCTCTCCTTTTCGCTCTCCTCTCTCTCTCTCTCTCTCTCTCTCTCTCTCGCTCTCGCTCTCTCTCTCTCTTTAACTAGGATTTTTATGTCAGTGGAGCGTCTTGCCTGTCAGCATGTCAACATTCCCAAAGAAAACATCAGCACCAGGCGGCTGTGATCAGGTCCATATGTCTGGCAGGAGGACGCCACTCACACTCTCTCTCACACACAAACACAGACACAGACACAGACACAGACACAGACACACACACAGTCACACCATCGCGCACAGCAGACAGCAGAACCATCTGAATTAGAAATACTGAAAGAGAGAGAGAGAGAGGGACAGAGAGAATGAGGGGGGGAGAGAGAGAGGGGAGAGTTAAAAATGTACATAGACAATGTTTACTAGATAAAGATAAAGAATGGATCAGTTAGAGAGATAAAAAAAAGAGATAGATGAGTGCATCAGATCAGAGATACTGTGTTCTCTAGAATTGGTTCCTCATCAAATTCTCATTCCTGTTGTAGCCATCACTTCCTCTCCTAACGCTCCTCCTCTCCACCCTCTCCTCCCTTCTTAAGAAGGGTCTTGTTCAGGAACAAATAATATCAGGAGGAAGATATTGTGGAACTGGAATGGCCATAGAGAAATTACTTTAGAAGTTCTGTGATAGAAGGTAGAAAGAGGAGTGACAGAGGCAAAGCTTTCTGCCAGAGAGAGCGAGAAAGAGAGGACAGACACACAGAGAGAGAGAGACCAGAGACAGAAAGAAAGAGAGAGAGAGAGAGAGAGAGAGACCAGAGAGAGACCAGAGAGAGAGAGAGAGAGAGCGAGAGAGATAGCGAGAGAGGAGAGAGAGATAGAGATAGGGAGAGAGACGAGAGAGAGGAGAGAGAGAGGAGAGAGAGGGACGAGAGAGAGAGAGAGAGAGAGAAGAGAGAGAGCGAGAGAGAGAGAGAGACCCTACCATTAGCCAAGAAGGGAGAGGGAGCCCATATAAACCCATTGGTCTTAACAGCACTGGAAACTTCTAGTCTGACAAGTGGGAATAGAAGGCAGCGTCATAAGGTGTATCCCAAATGACACCTTATGGGCACTGGTCAAAAGTAGTGCACTATAAAGGGAATAGGGTGCCATTTGGGATGCATGCACACTCACCAGATAAGTAAGGTGGCTTCACTTCAGTGGCCGGGACAGAGCAGGAACAGAGAGAAGCTCAGTCAGACAGTAAAAGCGAACATCTAATAAATCCCACTTGGTTCAGGTGCAGGACATGTGTGCGTCTTAAAAACGTTTTGGGAGCTCATCAGTGTGGCAGACATTGCTTCATTTTTACAGAGAAAGAGATTGTTTACTGTTAATTTTGAATCGTTTTTTGTTTATGTTGTTTTTGTTTCTTCTCATTTTTGTTTATTGTTTATTTCACTTGTTTTGGCAATGTAAACATATTTTTCCCATGCCAATAAAGCCCCTTTGAATTGAATGTAATTGAGACAGCAGAGAGACACAGAAAATCAGAATGTAGACAAACACACACTCTGATCAGAACAGCTGCAACTTCCTGCTTTTGGCACCACACACACATACCCTTCCACAGGCTCTGGTGTCCCATGGGACTGTGAGGGGGGTTTGGAGGGGGGGGTGGGTGGGGTGGGGGGGGGGGGGTTGTTTTTTTTGTTGGTTGTTTTTTTTTGTTAGTTGGGTTTGGTATTTAGAGGGTAGGGACGGAGGTGTTGTGTGAAGATCCTCAGAGAGTTGGTGGTCTGAGAGAAGATCCAGTGTGAAATCACTAAAGAGGATCTGGTTTATATGAACAGGCCCAGACTGACATACAGAGACACACACATTAGCACATAGCGTGTGTGCAAAAACACACATACTCTAAACACAGTTGCTTTGTGGATACAAAGTAACACACACACACACAAACTCTCCCCCTCTCTCATCTCTATCTCCTCTCCCCCCTCGCTCGATTCTCCACCTCCCTCTCATCCCTCTCCCCCCCTCTCTCTCTCTCCCCTCTCTCTTCTCTCTCTCTCTCTCTCTCTCTCTCTCTCTCTCTCTCTGTGTATCCCACAGGGCCTGTCTGAGGGCCTGAGAATAGGCCTTCCTGTGGTTAGAGCACTGTGGGTGCTGGTGCTATGCCTTGGCCTCTGGGGCACTCCTCTTCTCTCTGCAGCACACACACACACACACAGCATTGCTGCTCAACTCTGTAAATAAACTCCTCAGTCAGTCTTGACCAAAAACACAGCCTATCCACTGTCAGAGTCTGGTGTGTCCAACAGAGCACAGAGAGCAAAGAGCTGTTCTCGGCCGAGGTCTGAGGAACCCACACACGCAAATACTAGCACATACATGCATATACACATGGCCACATACATGCATACACACACATAAACATACACACACACACACACGTTGACACAGATCTTTAACTGCCTTCTCACCTGTCCTTCTTATAAATGTAAAATACATATATTTTGTCATTTAGCAGATGCTCTTATCCACAGCGACCTACAGTAGTGAGTGCATACATTTTGGTTCGTATCTCCCACGGCAACTGAAGACTGATGTAAGTGACAACAAATTCCTCACATATCTGTCCAGAGAAAGAGAGAAGAGAAAGGAGGAGGAAGATAACGTATTTTTTTTTAAAAACAGCAACAGTAGTAGTACAGTACTTTAAAATACTCCATCTGAACCTAGCGTGACAGATACGATTCTGTCTACTAAGCGAAACATACTATAACATACCATATCACTGTGTTCTGTTACAATATAATTATTCAGTTCCACACAGTAAAGATGGTTGAAAAACACTTTTACTTGTCTAGTAAATGTGGTTTAGTAGTACTAAACTACATTTTACCAGTAGTGTTAACAAAGAGAGTACCAAAAATAGTCACTTCATAGTTCACACAACCAACAACCGTTGGATTCACCAACTGGATCAGTTTAAATCAACAATAAGCCATAAAGAACAAGATGGAGCATGTGTACAAGATCTAAACCGCATTAACGAGTTAATTAAAAGCCTTTCCTTTCATTGTTTAATTAGCCCTGTGCCATGTTAGTTTTATATAGCAGTTTAAAGTATGAGAACACACACTGAGATCTGGGACTGAATGACATAAACGTGTGTATGCTACCACAACACACAACAACCTCTTTAAATAAAGTTGTGTTTTAGTTATTTGGGTCACAAAGAAGTAAATTATCAACAACTCCCCATAAAGATTGGAAATTGGAATTTGAAAATAAAGACTTACGTTACACTGCCATCTCCAGGTCAAATTGTGTTAGTTCACTATGTTTTTACCTTTAAACAACGGTTATGCTGCTCCTGGCTCATCCTTGGAACCTCATCGGGTTGATCATGCCGATCCAAGCCAGGTGGTGTATCACAAGGCACTGCTCCTGTCTCTTCAGCCGTCCATGCCAAGATGCTTTGACCATGGAAATACACTTTGACCATGGAAATAGAATCTCATTCTAGTTCTGTGGCTTTGACACCGTGAAGGGTAGAACGTGTCTCGCGACAGGTAGGCAGGCAGGAGGAAAAGTAGGCCTATATAGTGCAAAATGGTGATAGGCCTATGTATTTTCAAAATAATGCTAGTGGTAGAAATGGTAGGAATAAATAAGAAGGTCGGCAGAAATCTAAATCAAACTTCAAACTGGTTCTGACCTACAATCAGGCTGCAGGCACTGTATACTTTCATCACAGACTACTACCCTACCCTCATGGACACACTCACAAAGATTACAGACCAGCGGCAAAGTCAGGTAAAAATACCTTGAGCCATTCTGCTACTCCCTTGGCAAAACCATTGCCTCCTTTACAAGCTGAGGCTGTACAGCCATCTCCCTTAACCCTAAAAGCGGCAACATATTTTTCGCTTAAAAGCGCCAAAATGGGTCATTTTTTACCCCAAATTGGAAATGATTGCAAAGAGACTGTCTGTCAAGCAGTAAAACGTTTTAATTTATTAACCGTTTGTAACACAAGTAAATGGTTTTAATAACCCAAGACGTTTTTGTATGTTTTTTATGTTTTTATGTTTGTATGTTTTTTATGTTTGCTTTGTTTGTAAATTAATGTCATTGATGCAATGTGCCCCTGGCTATCCATAAATAAAAAATTAAACAATTGTGCCGTCTGGTTTGCTTAATATAAGGAATTTGAAATTATAAATACTTTTACTTTTACTTTTGATACTTAAGTATATTTTAGCAATTCCATTTACTTTTGATACTTAAGTATATTTTAGCAATTCCATTTACTTTTGATACTTAAGTATATTTAAA